GTTCGATAGGAAACTCCAAGGGCTATCGAATGGTATAATTACTTTTCCCAATAAGTCCTTTTCTAGTGTGAAAAGGGGTCAAATACTCACTGCAGCTTTCGCTTTCCAGGGGTATATATATGTATCACTCGCTGAATATGAGGCTTAGTATTATTTAACGTGAGTTTGAAAGGAATATTCAACGTTGTTTAATTTACAGACACATCTTTTCTTGTTTTATAAGGATAAACAGAAAAGAATTTAATAATATCATATTCAAGTGATATTTTGTTGTGGCGAATAAACAAAGCTCTTGGAAAGTTGAAAGCGAAATAATTTTACATCTTCCTACGTTTTAACATTAATGGCATCCTGAATTCTTTGCAAGTCGATGATGTCTACTCGATGATTTGATTAAAATAAAAAGCATGACATATTATGCGGCTGAAATGATGAATTGTTCATATCGAATATAAATCATAAATAACTTCAAATTCAAATATCTTAGTCTATGTATATAAAAAATCCGTCATATATTTGGAGTCTTTTTTATGCGATAGTGACAAATTTTATGTCGCCTGGTTATTTTTAATATTATTAAACGAACAGCAATCATATACACTATCAGGAAGGAAAAAAGGAAGAAAATTTAAATAATTGTTGAATGAGCTCAGTGTTAATCTAGTCATATTCTGCATAATTCATTAAGTACACCGGATTTCGTAGCTAAGAATATTCTAAAATACGTAAAAATACCAACGATAACTATTGCAGGAAAATCAAGTTCGAATTTATTCTTGTTGATATGAAGAGAAAGAATAAAGAGATGAATATTTGTTTAGTTACTCCTGTGTAGCACACCTTTACACAATTTTTTTCTAGGTTAGTTTTTCTTTTTATGTATAAAAATGTTAAAAATATGTCGACTTTCCCGAAATCATTAATGATTAGAGAAAATAGTTGAATAAAAATTGGCTCGTAGTTAACGGATGAAATATATATTTTCACAGCAGCTGATTTTTACAGATAGATCGAAATTGACTTAATCCACTTTATGTAAACTGTGATTCAAAAAATGAACAATAAAGTGTGGGTATGGATGTGTGTGGTGGGTGTGCGTGTCTCGATATATATGTGGATGTTTATCTTCTCTTTACCACACCCACACCCTATCTATTTTTTAAAGATAAATATATCATAATACAGTTGAGAATAATAGAAGATGATACCTTTAAAAAAATATGAACTAATAACTGTTAAACAAAATATACATGATCTTACAAGAGCCGAAGATGAATTTTAACAGAATCAATATCTATTTATTTCTATTAAATATCTTATATAATTAAAATAAATCAAACTAAATACTGAAACATAATTAATAAAATTTTGAATGCATATCCATGACATATTTTGTTTATAAATCACAAATTTCCTCTTAATAAAATAATCTTGTTCAAATCAAATGAATCTGATCTGGTTTCAACTAGTCTTTGATCTCTATTATGAGTTTCTATTGAATGAATAACTACTTGTTTCAGAATAATAACTAATAAGTATATTTGAAAATATCTGCAATCCAAAGAGAAAGCAGAAAACATTTCAAAATTCGAAAGATTTGACAAAAAGCACTATTCATATCATACAAGTAATTAATGTGATATTGTATCATTATTTATTGCATTCTTCTTTACTTCTAATTATGATTAGTTTTGACATATCTCTCACTATTGTTCATCTGAATTTTAAGTGGTTATAGGTAATTTTTTTAATACCTTTGAAGTGATGAGAGATAAATTGTTTCAATTTTCAATATTACTCGAAGTCTACATGCGTCTAACTTTATTACAAATTCAATGAATTCCAAAGTTTGGAATGTTCAATCGTCTAAGGATATTCGTCTCTATCAAGAAAACTCGCAGACTTAAGTTTTAAGTTTTTTGAAAAACTTGTTTAAGGTTAATGTCTATATAGATTTGTCATTACTCGTCGAAGTATCTGTATAAATGAATTAAAAGATCAGTATAACGTACTTTCTTCTAAAAGGTTATCAGAAGAACTTATGAAAGCAAAGAATATGTTGATATCAAACTATAGATTATGAACTTCTGTGGATGTTTGTGATGTAATTTACCTTGTGTTAAGTAATATAAGGTACTATCAGTGTCAATGTCATGGAAAATTATTATTCTAATGTTTGCTGATCATCAGGTGTTTGTAAACAGAGCTTTTCGAACCTCGCATATTCGTAGGGTGGTGTATATGAGATTTTTCAAAGTTGGATGCTTACAGTATTTTTATAAATTACGGAGACTAGATTTACTTTCAATTTGTAGCAAAGAATCCTTTTAGGTTGATTTTGTCAATGCAACTTCTTTCGAAGCATTATTTCTTCTACTAACTGAAGTAGTTCAAAAAAACTATAATATGTAGGTAATAATATTGGCGGAACTAATAATTCCCGATTGAAAGATAGCTATCTCCATCATTAGAATAGCAGATTATATAGAATGTCAAATACATACTTTTTGGAACTGGGGTACTTGAAGCTGACACTTGACACAAATAATTGCTTGCATTTATACTTGTTTTAATTTGATTCATTAATCGAGTCTCAATTGCATTAATCAATATTTTTGAATTATTGAAGTTATCGGTCAGCTTTTTATCAAGATTTAATTCACTAGCTGCTATCAAGTTTTTCAATGAATTCGAATCGTTAATCATTTTTTTATTAAGTTTTGATTCAAATAAAGACAATGTTTTGTTGAAATTTGATTCACTGGTGCTTAATGACGATTTGAACTGTGCTGTTAAATTTTTGAATAATTCATCAAATCTACTTGATAACTGATTGTGTTTCTCTGCAAACGAATCGTTTGTTAATGAATAATTTTGATAATCATCTAGACAGCGTAATGGAAGAAAATGTATATCTGTCTGAGTTTTTATTAGAACCGTATTAGAAACTAGTTTTGTTGCGTATTTTAATGAACCAAAATTGATCAGTGTAACATCGATTGATTTTGGGCTGATCATATCGCCTTTGATTTCAATATGTTCCGAAAAATAGCGAATCAACTTTTCTGCATCTTGTCGTTCTAAAATAATTTTTGTACAATTCATTTCTTCATTATTCGTAACATTACAATTCTCTTGATCTATTTTGTAGTGAATTAGATCATCACTTAATAAACTTCTACTGTTTGTATCACGCTCAGTAATGCCACTTTGTACATAAACTTTCTGGTTTTCTGAGCCTACGTCTACAATATTGATGACTGATTCAATTCCATCATAAGCATTAACATCGAATGTATGTTTGGTATTTTGAGATTTTGTTGCTAGATGTTTTTCCAAGTTAGCAAACTTTTGTCTATCAGAAGATTTTAAATAACTTCTCAAAGTCTCGTCTGCTTGCGAAAAATCGTAGAGAAATTTGTCAAAGTGTGTTGAATCTTTTTTCAGAATTTTATTCAGTAGTTTAGATAACCGATCAGGTCTTGTTAAATCAGATGTCCAATACAATGAATTCCAAAGACGATCATTGATCGTTGTCAGTTGAGCCTGTTTATATTGTAGTTGACGATCAAGTAATCGATCAATTGCTATCGGATCTTGTATACCACCGAAATCTTCTTCAACCTGTAAATTTATTGTAATTTGATCTATCGTTTCACTCAAGAGAATTTTATAATCAGTGTCAGTTAAAGCAACTATGTCTTCATGATTTCCTGAAAATTGAGACTGTATTTGTTTGTACATTGACGTTCTCTTCAAATCTTCAATAGTAATTTCGAGTTTTCGGGATGAAGTCTTATGACCTTGTAATGCGTATTGAAGTTCAATATTCGACAAGCTGCAGTGAGAAATAATAGAATTCTTTAAATTACGACAAGCTTCCATGTTAAAAGCATAGATAACAAACTTAACCGTTTGTAGAAGTTGTGTATTACTATGCCATTCACTATTCAAATCATACTTAAGTCGAGACTTCACTGATCGAAGACCTTTTTGAAAGAGACGAATAGAATGCATAGGCAAAAGCGAAACTTCACAATGCTCAGTATGACAAATATTTTGATGTTTTCTAATATAATTTTCAATGGATTCTAGTAAATTTGTCGTATATAAAGAAACAACCAGAGTGAGTTCGATATGACCACTCAAATCATTGTAGTGGCAGCGAGTCAAATTTGATATAACAAATGGAAACGGTGTGAAAAAAAAATATGAAGATCTTAATTGGTTTTGAAACAGAATGACTTCACCATCTTGATACTTAAAGCGACCAATATTAGTTGCTGGAATCTTTTGTATCCATATATTGTTGCTAGCAATATGTGTATTATTATTAGTATTTGTAATAGACTTTCCATAATCACCTGCAGTGTTACTAACGATGAGAACCACCGTGAATAGAAAAAAGTATATAGAAAACCAATGCATTTTCTAAAAATAGACAAAAAGATTATTCACAATAATTCTGTACTGTACTTCTGTATAATGTATTTATATGCTCGTAGTTCTTGAAAACAGTCTACTTTGTTATATGTATTGCAGCATCATATATCGAAAACAAGAATACTATTCAATATTGAAGATTTTTCCGTTTTATATGAATTGAACGCAAGTCAAACCTTCAGATCATATTTGTTTAAAAACAAAAACTGTTAAATTTCTGTTGATCCAATATTCTTGACTAAATTGAAGAAGATTTTTTATAATATTCTTTAACAAATTATGTCTGATATCTTCTATTTTTTTCTGGTACAATACCTCATAAATTCATTTGACCTATAATCATATGCTAAACTTGTTCTAAATCAAGTTAACCCTTTACCCCCCAATGGGTCATATATGACCCATTTGTAGACATGATCGCAGAAAATAAAGAAAGCATGAGACTGAAAAACTCTCAAGACATT